TTGCGCACGAGGGAGCGAGGAGTGCAGCAGGTCCTCCTCATTGTCAAGAAACAAAAGAGCTGTGGATCTTCTGCTAGAAGCTTTAGCGAAACAGTCCCTTGATATAACTACAAAGCAAGATTTATCCAGGGCCATTTCTCTTGAGGCTTTTCCTGAGCCAACATGAAGGTATGAGGATGCTATACAAGAACCACAGTTTGCTCCCTGAGAAGTGGCTCAGCAGCATCAGGCATTGACTGTGAGGACAGATGATGTTTCTGTGCTGAGCTGGAGCCAGAGCTGAGTCTCATATATGGGAGATTTCTCTCCCTCGTCCCGAGTGTGCACCGATGTCCTAACACAGCTGTCCTCTGCCTGAGAGGATGCCTGCCTGGTTGCTTGGGGCAGGAGCTACTCTCCCTGCTGATCCGGAGCACAACTTGGTGCAACTGAAATCTTGTCATGACTCTTGGATGTTGCCAAGATGTGGGTGCCTTAGGATTTCTCTGCAATCCTTCCTCCTCTTCCTTGAAGCTTCCCCAATACAGTGCCATTAGAAGCCACAAGAGGCCTTTTGCCTCCTAGGGATTCTGGAGCAAAGATGATGGACTACTTTCTAATTCTTTTGGGTCTAGTCTGTTTTATTAAGTGTGGCTTCCAGTGTGAGTGAGAAAACTTTGTTTCCTCCTGCCTATCCCCTGCTGAGGTTTGGTGAATAATAGGTCTGGTTTTGGAGCTGGCATATCTTGCTGCTTTTTGGTCCGTTTGGTTAGTGGAAATACCTTCCCACATCTCTTATGTGTTCAGAGATGCCCTCAGCTTGGTTTTTCTAATTAAAACCTCCAGGCTTGTCTCTCTGGGGCAGGAAGTGAATATATACAAATGTTTTATCAGCCTCCAGAGGGTTTTCTGGCTTTAATGATTTCTGGAAGCCCACTTCACTAGTTACTGCCGAGTAGGTCGAGACAGTCAACTTCAATGAGTTGCCCCAGTGTGCTTGGTAGATCGGTAGTGCTGGTGGTAAATTGGTTAACTGTCTGTTTGCTGCAGAGGAATAGGTTTAATTAAATATTCTCTCTGCATTGGGTTCCTGGATAGATACAGGACATAGACAGCCACTGCCGTGGACTTGGTGCCATCATGATGCCAACAGGGTCTTAGCCTGAATTCATAGGATCTTGTGTTGCCTCTTGTCTTATTCTCACTTTCCTGATAATGCCTGTTACACCCACGAAGCAGAAAGGGCTGTGGGGTTTTGGTGTTTCTAAGCAGTGAAGACAGGCCCTTTTATAACAAATTTCTTCCCTCTCCTGGCCTTTTAGTTGTGCTGGCTGAGCCCTGTCCCTTGGCAGCAGACAGTTAACATGAGCAAAATCACCAAGACCCCTAAACGGTCTTGCAGCATCATGGGGTTTTTAGTTCACCAAGCAGAAATCTTGGACCTTAGCACCAGTCCAAAGTGTGACAAGTTAAAATTTCAGAGCAGGTCAATCTGAAACTCCCCCATAAACATCAGCCCTGTGAAATAATCCTTAACTAATGCAGAAAGAGAGGTGGAGGAACTGAGGTGTATCCTTGGTTCCACAGCAGTAGGAAAGAGGGAAAGAAATCTAAATTATTGTGTAATGATCTAAAGGAGAAATCTCTAAATTATTTCTTGTTTTATAATCAAGTTCCTGACAAGTATTGACTAACTAAGAGGAAAATATTGAGCATGTTGCTTGAAGCAATATTTCTAGTTTCTTAAGCATATCTTCATAGCTGCCTTCACCTCCATTCCCTTCAAATACATTGTACAGGGTTGGGAGAGGCCAGGAAGAATGAGATATGAACAGTAAGTTGGCTTGTGTCCATTGAGTTGTTTTATACTTTTTCTCTGTGTAATAATATTCATTGCTTTTTTTTTTTTTTTTTAACCCAGTTTAAGTTGCTGGCCAATAGAAAAATAAAGCTTAAGATTCTGTACTTATTCTGTGTAGCAAAACTGAAGGGGTACCGTGGGCCAGATGGGTTATATGGATCCCTCTGATCCTTGAGGAACTGGCTCCTCAACAGCAGAAGCAGCTGGCCTGTGGGGCCAGGCTGAGAAAGAAGCTGGGAAAGAATCTGCTTCACATCACTGATCCTGCCAGCCTGGTCGTGATCTCTTGCCGCGGGGTGCTGCAGACTGCTCCTCTGTGTGGCACCCTGAGAGCTGAAGTCGCAGGACCTCAGGACACCAGGTATTGCACATCAGCCGCGGTCTGTGCACGGAGGCGTGCGCAGCCAGCACTGCTCCGGGGGCTGTGGTACACCTAACTGCGCTCGCTGGGGTGCTTGGTCTCTTGTCACGCAGGCTACACTTTCTCATCAGGTGCAGAGCACCGAGGCAGACAGAACAGGGCCTTTGCCATCAAGTAACTTGCATTCACCTTGCTGGCCTAGTTGCTGCCTGTGATTATGAGTCAGGTCTTCTTTAAGAAGACCAGTTGAGGGTAAAAATTGGCCCAGGGCTCTGCTGTGCCCTCCTACACCCTGCTTCCACTTACCCTAAAGGTAGTAGAAATCTGTCCATCTTGACTATAAGGACATAGGTGAGCTACTGCAGCGGTGCTGCAGCCTCTTCCTACCACTGTGGATAACGGGGAGTGTCTGGGTGCCATGTCCCAGTGTGTGACAAGTGTTTGCTCTACGTGCTGTGGAGTAGCTTGTAGCCACCCTGCATCATGGACCTGTCAAAAAGAGGAAGCAGATGTGTGCTCTTTTTTTATTACCCTTTGGGATTCAGTGTTGAAAATTACTCGTAACAAGTCTGAAATAAGCCTGTATCTGGCCAGATGGAAATGCCTGCCTGCAGCTAATGGGCATGGCCATTCAGCAGCTCTCAGGGCTCAGCACAGTGTGCTGTGAATTCGGCTCCTGTAATTCAAGTGAGTCTAATTCAAGCTGCTTGGCTCTGTGGGCAGGAGGGCCATGGTGTCACCAAGCCCCAGGGAATCGCAGTACAGGTCACGCTGTTTTTCTCTCGCCTGGAAGGGAAGATTGCTCCTTCCAGCCCCGGTAAACATGCGTGATTTTCATGCTGCAACGAGGCACCGGCCATGCAAGACTGAGGCTGGGGGCTTGGCCTGGCGTGCTCAGCGCAGGGACATCCGCTAAAAAAACCCACAAATGTGTTTGCATATGCCGAGAGGACAGACCTGGGTGGCTCAGCAGTGGCGAGATGAGCCAGCGCCACTGCTACGGTGCCACTGTGTAGAAGGCAGATGTGTTCTTGAGATGCCTTGGGTAAGATCCCCTTGGGTAAGACGGGGATGTGGTCATACTTGTTTATGAGACCTTGTCCCAAGACCTAGGCTGCCCAGGGAAGTGGTGGAGTCGCCATCCCTGGAGGCATTCAAAAAACATGTAGACATGGCACTTTGGGTGGTTTAGTGGGCATGGTGGTGTTGCATTGATGGTTGGACTTGATGATCTTAAAGGTCTTTTTCAGCCTTAATGATTCTATGACTCTATGGCCTGCATGTGGAACTCCAGCTGCCCGTTTTCAGGAGAGGTGAGTTGAAGGTGGAGCACATACAAAGAAGGGGGGCACAGAGGTGGCATAGATGGCTCTGTGTTAACAGTGTGTCCCAAACAGCCACCAGGCCTCCTCGGCTGTTCTACCACCACAGAAAGAGAAATGCCTGTGACTCCCCTCCTCGTGCCTTGTCCTGTTCCCCTCCCATGTCATTAGGGGTGCAGTATGGCTCCAGTCGCCCTTTCCCACCCTAAAGGGAAACTAGCCTCCCTTCTGCAAGACTGTCATGGGGTGGCATCTGTGACAGGTCTGTAGCACAGTGCTTTTTGGCATGAAGCGATTGCTTAAAAGCAATTTCTCTTCTTGTTTGAATTTGCTTCTTCTGCAGTGTCTGTGATCAGGGTGCAATTATCATCCTACAGCATCCCCATGGGCCATGCAGCCTCAGGTCTCAGGGTGCTGCTGCCTCTCCCAATCCGGGAGTGTGGATTTCTCCCCCTCCAGACCTGGAGATTTGGGCTGTGATAATTGCTCTTCATAGAAATTAGCTTAGCCAGTGGTGTGCTCTCTTGGGGTGTCTGGGTGGTCAGTACAATTTGCTCAGGAATAAAAGGCAAAACAGAGGCAGCAGTAAATAGTTTCTGCAAGGGTCCAGCTTTGGGGCAGTCACCCTGTTCCTGCGGTTTCAAATAAGACACCAGTATTTCACGCTCCCCTGCTGGACTGCTTCTAACCAGCTCTACAAACGTGCCCTTTCTGCTCCTGCCGTTTAATTGGGAGGAATTTTCCCCCCAGGGAGGCCTTGGTGCCCCTTTTTTTACCCATTTATAAAGCCTCCCTTCAGCAGTGGTTGTAATGTCTTTGTTTTCCTGCTGGACTGGGGCTGAGCAGGGCTCTGATGGTGGAAAGATGAGGAGCAGGCAGCGACACTCTCCTCCCTGGTGAGGAGACAAATGCACCCTGCTTGGGAAATGGCAAAGGGGAATGCTGTCTCCTTTCCTGCTGTGAAACCTCCCCGGGTTTCCATGTGTAGGTGTGTGCACGTGCCCCTGGGAGAAGATGCCGGGTGGTCTGTGCCGCACCGAGCAGCGACACGAGGTGCCTCAAAGCAGCACCGTCGCTGAGCTGGGGCACGGGTGTGTGTGAGCAGAGACCCACAGCTTCTGCCGGCGTGGCTGGTTTCGCTGTGGGGCTCCTGGGCTGGCTCCGGCGCTATTAAAGAGCGGCTTTTCGGGCCGCTGGCCGCACTGCCCCTTGTCTCCCCGGTGAGCTGCTTCTGCGGGAGGAGCGTGTCTGCCTGCTGCTTCCCTGCGCCGAGGTCCGTTCGGGAGAAGAGATGGCGGTTGCCATGTGGTGGCTTCAGAAATGACAAATTCCTTGCAGGGAGAGGGCATGATGCTCTCAAATGAGCTATAATCACATGAACAGCAGGGATG